TGAATTTAATGGCAACTTTGTTGATAAAACCAGTTTGCTTTGGATTATATTTATTTTTATTAAATATTATTTGGTGGTAGCAATTTAATATTAAATGTGACTTTTTTACATGTTGGATTTTCTGATTCATATATGAAATACCAAAAGTATTTAAGAGAAATTTGTCTCAGACTCTTTATGCCTAAAATCATTATCCTGAATATATATAGATGGCAAGGATGGCCATAGTATTTATTGAGTGCTGAAGTACATTCTAAGTGCTTAACATATAGAATCTCATTTAATCCTCACCACAACCTCTGTGACAGTTACTGAAATTATTCCCCTTTTAAGGTAGCTGAAACTAAGAAATTGAAATGTTAAGTAACTTGCCTGGTGTCACACAGTAAGTACCTGGAGAAGCTGGAATTCAAAACCGTGAGTCTCTCCACAGGCTAGGGAGTTCATGTTTTTTTTGTTGTTGTCATTTTGCATGGTATGGTCTTCCGGTGAGGACCAGAAAACCTGCTAGACAAATTCTAAAAGAGCGGTAACACTAGAATTCATGTTCTTAATTGGATTACTAAAAGGTATGAAAGCAAATTTTTAAAGGAAGGTTACTTTTAATGCATCTGGTGCCAGCTATTCATACCACATCTGAGAAATGTGGAAATTATGACATCAGAGCCCAAAAGAATGACAGTTCAGTATTTGAAAATATTTAAAGGGTAACCATACTGCTTATATTAATGTTATAAATTTAATTATTTTGTATGTTTGGAATCAGCAAGGAAAAGTGACAAAATTTGCATTGTATTTTATTCGTAGAAAATTTTGCAGTTAACGTGACTTTGTAATGGATGGGGAGGGAAAAACATTGAAGGAGAAATTTTAAACTTAATTTAATAACCCTTAAAATAATGCCTGTTATAATTTTGCATTGAGGTTTCTGTTTAATTGAAAAGTAATTTTTCTAAGTAGATTTATTTAGTTTCATAATTTAAATAAAATAACTAGGAAGACTAAGAAATGTGTTTTAAGTAATCAGGTTGATGTGAGAGAATGAAGATAGAATGTACCACAAAATTATGTGGCAAAGTGATAAGATTCTCAAGCTGTATTGGCCTCCAGCAAGGTGGCTAGGCTTATTGTTTTATGCCTTTTAGCCAAGAATACCAGGAACACACTTGTAATTTAACAAGTTAGGTTTACTTTTTGTTGCAGGGAGGGAAGAGTGTTTACAATAGGGAAACTGTAAAGCACATATCAGTAAGAGGATAATAGAAAAAGCCTAGCATAGGATTTGGTTATAGTATAGTATAGGTTGGGTTAATTTGAGGAGAGTTTAAGGAAGCCGATTTTACTCTGGTTTGGGTGACATTAGGAAATGGGGGCAGTTCTATACTTCAGTATCTCAGTAAGTCTTATCTATATAAGGAGGACAGACTCTTGTGAGGATAAAGCTGTAATTGGTGAAAAATTTCCTGTCCCTCATTTAGTGGCGGTTGGGGGTATTGGTATTTTGTGAGTTGCACAGTGACCTTGCCTGACTTGAATGTTCTGTGAGATGGTTTTATGTCCTACAGTAGAACAACATGGCTTAGCAAGCAGCAAGTACCAGACTAGTTTTAACAACACTGAGCCTTAGCTATGTCAGTTAAGCCCAGACATCAGGGGCTGCTTTTTTTTTCTTTCTCAGGCCAAAGCAAGTGTATGCTGCTATCATTCCTATTGGTGATGGTGATGGTGATGGTAAGTGAATATCCAATATGAAAGTAATATTCTTGATTCCTGTACATCTTAGTCCTGAAAGGACTTTCGTTTTATTCCACTATTGATGGTAGCATTGTCTTTCTTCAAGACTAAATCCTTGCCCTCTTTTGCTTGCCTTTATTGCACTGATCCTGGTGTTAACATGGAAATGGTTACAGAGAATTTCCTTGTCTTGGTTCTGATCTTGTTTCACCATTAAGTATGATATATGTAGTTTTCTTTGTAGATAACCTTTATCAAATTTGAATAAGTTTCCTTCATTTCTTAGTTTCCTGAGAGTTTAAATTATGAATCAGTGTTGAATTCTATCAGATAAATATTCTTTATCTGTTGAGATGATCCTTTGTTTTCCCCCTCTGTTTTGTTTATGTGGTAAATTAAATTGCTTGATTTTTTAAAATTTTTAATTATTTTGTTGCTTAAATAACAGACATTTATTGTCTCACAGTCTGGAGGCTAGAAGTTTGAAATCAAGGTATTGCCAGGGCCATGCTAAGGAAGGCTCCAAGGAAGGATCTATTTCAGGCCTCTTCCTAGCTTCTGGTAGTTCCTTGACTTGTGTCAGCATGACCCCAGTCTTCCCATGGCATTGCCCTTGTGTGCATGTCTGTCTGTGTCCAGATTTTCTCCTTTTTATAAGGATGCCAATCATATTGGATTAGGGCCTGCCCAAATAACTTTATTTTAACTTGATAGGGCCTCTGTAAAGGCCTTATCCAAAGAAGGTCATTTTCTGAGGTACTGGGGCTTAGGACTCCAATATATCTTTTTTTGAGTGGAGAAGCTGCACATTTTAGCCAATAACAACCTGATATTAGACATTCATTCAGTTTAGGCAAAATTTACCTGTTGTTTGGGATGAAGTAAAGCCAGAATGCTTTATGACATGCTCATGATAGACATTGCTTGATTTTTGGATGTGAAACCAACCTTCTTTTTTTTAAATGAGCTTCCCTTGGTCATAATGTATTATCTTTTTAAGAAACACTTCTAAATAACTCACAGATAAAAGAGGAAATCACAGTGGAAATTTGAAAATATTTTAACAGAATAATGATGAAAATGTGATACATTAAAATGTGAGATGCAACTAAAGCAGCTCTTAGAGGGAAATTTATAGCTTTATATGCATACATTCTAAAAGAGGAAAGATTGAAAACTAAGGAGTAAGCTTGAACCTCAAGGAAACAGATGGCAAATTAAACCCTTTCAAAAAAAAGTAAGGAAAAAGAAATAAATATTAGAGGGGAAATCACTGAAACTAGAAAGCAGATGAAAAACGAGAAAGTTCACCCAAGATAAGAGTTCATTCTTTGATAAATAAATAGAATTGATAAAACTATAGCAAAACTTAACCAAAAAAGAGAACACATTACAATATATTTTTAAAACCTTTTCTTCTTTTTTTGTAACAACTTATACTGAGATATAATCACATACAAATAATTTACCTATTTAAAGTATACAATTTAGTAGTTTTTAGCATATTGACAGTTGTGTAACCATCACCACAGTCAATGTTAGAACATTTTCATTACCCCCTAAAGAAATCCTGTACCCTTTAGCAGCCACCCCTCATTTCTTCCCAAACCCTCCAACCCTAGGTAATTGCTAATTTACTTTGTCACTATGGATTTGTCTATTTTTGGCATTTCATATAAGTAGAATCGTTTAGTATGTGTGGCCTTTTGTTACTGGCTTCTTTCACTCGCATGTTTTCAAGGTTCATTCATGTTGCAGCATGTATCAGTACTTCATTTCTTTTTGTGGCTGAGTGATATTCCATTGTATGGATAATACCACATTTTATTTATCCATTTATCAGTTGCTGGACATTTGGGTTGTTTTCAGGGGCCATTATAGGGCCATTATGAGTAGTGCTTCTGTCAGTATTTGTATATGGTTTTTTGTGTTGACATATGTTTTTATTTCTGTTGGGTATATAGCTACGAGTGAAATTGCTGGATGGTATGGTAACTCTAGGTTTAATATGTTAAACCTAGAGTTTAACATATGTTAAATGGCCTGACTGTTTTCAAAGCAGCTGCACCACTTTACAATCCCACTAGCCTTCTATGAAGGTTCTAGTTTCTCCACCCTTGCCAGTACTCATACTTCTCTTTGATTACAGCTGACCTAATATATATGAAGTGTTATCTTATTGTGGTTTTGATTTGCATTTCTCTGATGTCTAAGGATGTTTATTGCTCACGTACTATTTGCCTTATTGGCCTATTTGTGGAAATGTCTATTCAAGTCCTTTGCCCATTTTAAAATTGGGTTATTTGGTTTTTTATTACTGTTTTCATATAGTTTATATATAACAGTTTTTATATATTTTAGATGCAAATCTTTTATCAGATATATGATTTGCAAATATTTTCTTCTGTTGTGAGTAGTCTTCACTTTCTTTTGGGTAGTGTTTTGTTAACATATGTTTACATTCTGTCAATCTAAATATGCCTGGTTGTAAATGTTGTCTTTCCCTACTTCTTCCTTAATTTTTCTTTTTCCTTATTTCTATATCTGTTTTTCATTCCTCCACTGCTTTTATTCCTACACTTTTATTTTTCTTTTCCTTTTCTTCATGTACTTTTTTTTTTGGACAAGGTCTAACTCTGTTGCCCTGGATAGCATACAGTGGTGTGATTGTAGCTCACTGTAACTTCCAACACCTGAACTCAAGGGTTCTCCCACTTTAGCCTCCCAGTAGTTGGGACTGCAGGCATACACCACCATGCCCAGTCTTCATGTACTTTTTAACTTCATCTACAATTTTTGTTTATTAATTTCTCTTATACTCTGAATTCCAATATTGAGAATGAAAATTAGTCCTTTTTTTTTTTTTTGAAACAAAGTCTTGCTCTGTTACCCCAGCTAGAGTGCAGTGGCATGAACACAGATAGCAGATAACTCACTGGGCTCAAGTGATCCTCCTTCCTTAGCCTTCCAAAGTGCTAAGATTACAGGCATGAACCACCATGCCTGGCTGAAAATTAGTCCCTTTTTCCCTAATATTTCCTAGTAATTGATTTACTAGTATAGACTGTAGACATTATCAATTTTGTATTACATAAATCAAATAAATAATGAAAATTAATCGATAGCAAGGATTATTAAGTTTTCTGTATGTCTTTATTTAAAAATTACATGAAATATGCTGGTTGTTTCTCTTATAAGATAAATTTGCTGTGAATCTACAGTTAGATAGTTTCTGTTCTAATTAAACTCTCTTTCTTTTTTTAAAGATTCACAATGGACAGTATAGAAGAACCTCAGAAAAAAGTCTTTAAAGCTCGAAAAACGATGAGAGTGAGTGATCGTCAACAACTTGAAGTGGTATACAAGGTCAAAGAAGAACTTATGAAAACTGATGTCAAGCTGTTAAATGGCAACCATGAAAATGGAGATTTGGACCCAACCTCACCTTTGGAAAATATGGATTATATTAAAGACAAGGAAGAAGTAAATGGCATTGAAGAGATTTGTTTTGACCCTGAAGAAGGTAAAACAGAATGGAAAGAAACACCCTGTATCCTAAATGTTAATATAAAAAACAAGCAGGATGATGATTCAAATTGTGAACCTTTGTCTCCTAATAACATAACTCCTGAACCAGTCTCTAAAACGACTGCTGACCCAGCTTCTGGAGATCTAGCCCCTGTTGATCTGACTGTTGGAGTTCTAGCTTCCGGAGTACTGGCCTCTGGTGATCCCACGTCTGGTGAGCCCATTTCTAATGATTGCTCCCCCGGTGATCCCACCTCTGGTGATTGCTCCCCTGGTGATCCCACCTCTGGTGATTCCCACTCTGGTGATGCCACCTCTGGTGATACTGCCTTAGATGATGCCACCCCTGGTGATGCCAGCTCTGGTGAACTCTTCTCTGGTGAACCAGTCTCTGGCGATTGTGCCTGTGATGATCCAGCCTCTGGTGACCTGGCCCCTGGAGCACTGGCCTCTGTTGATTTGGGGTCTGGAGAAACGGCCTCTTGTGATCAGGCCTCTGGTGATCAGGCCTCTGGTGATCCAGCCTCTGGTGATCCAGCTTGTGGTGATCTGGCCTCTGGTGATCCTGCCTCTGGTGATCCTGCCTCTGGTGAACTGGCCTCTGATAATCTGGCCACTGGTGAACTGGCCTCTAGTGAACTGACTTCTGAATCAGCCTTTGATCCCACCTTTGAACCAAGTTCTATACCAGTTGGTGAACCAGTTCCTGAAACTGGCGATGTAGAACCAAGTAGCAATAATGATGATGATTTTCTTGAAAAAAATGGGCATGATGAAAAGTTAGAGCAAATTCAAAGTAAGGACTCAATTGATGAGAAAAATAAAGCTGATAGTAATGTTGATGCTAATGAAGAAACTTTAGAAACAGATGGTACAATTATTTGTTCAGATCTACCTCCTGAAAATGAAAAGAAGGTAGAGGAAGATACTATTACAGAGCTTGCTCTTAGAGAAGAGGCTATATCAAGCAGTATGGAAATTGATCAAGGTGAAAAGAATGAAGATGAAAATTCTGCAGACCTTGTAGAAACCATTAGTGAAAGTGTTATAAAAGATGACAAAAATGAGAATATCTTAGACAATACTGATTCTATGGAAACAGATGAAATCATTCCTATTTTGGAAAAGCTTGCACCTGCTGAGGATGAACTTACTTGCTTTTCTAAAGCTTCTCTCCTCCCAATTGATGAGACAAATCCAGATTTGGAAGAGAAAATGGAAGGTTCTTTTGGTTCACCATCTAAACAAGAAAGTAGTGAGAGTTTGCCGAAAGAAGCCTTTTTGGTCCTCTCTGATGAAGAGGATATTTCAGGTGAAAAAGATGAGTCTGAAGTTATATCACAGAATGAAACGTGCTCTCCAGGTTAGCATATTATTTAAATTTTTAAGATTTTTATTAACTTTAATGAATTGTTTAGTAAAACATTATTATACAGTTTTAAATTTCTTTTAGTTGTTGAGAATGGTGGTAACTCTACAGAAGGATCTAATTTCATAGATTCTTAACTTCATAGAATTCAGAATTACAAAGTACCCACTCTATAAGCAACATGTGCTAAGTGCTAAAAGGGAGATAAAATAAATAGAAAATATGGCCCTTATAGTCTGAGAATAGAGATAAAATGGACCACCATAATGCTGAGATAGTGAGTCAGCACATAATTGATCAGAGTCCTAGCAATTGTTCTTTCTTGCTGTCACTTAGGGAACAAATAATTTAGAATCCAAAAGCCTGCTACTTTGTTGCAAGTATAAAATATCATATTTTCAATTAATTTTACCAATGAAATCTTCTTCTTTAATATTCTGTGTCCAGGGAATGACATCACCATTGTTGTAAGCCGGAAAGCTTAAAGCTTGATTATCTATTCAATAAAGACTTTACCCAGCTGGGCATGGTGGCTCACGCCTGTAATCCTAGCACTCTGGGAGGCTGAGGCAGGTGGATTGCTTGAGGTCAGGAGTTCGAAACTAGCCTGAGCAAGAGCGAGACCCCGTCTCTATAAATAGAAAGAAATTAATTGGCCAAGTAATATATATAGAAAAAATCAGCCGGACATGGTGGCGCATGCCTGTAGTCCCAGCTACTTGGGAGGCTAAGGCAGTAGGATTGCTTGAGCCCAGGAGTTTGAGGTTGCTGTGAGCTATGCCACAGCATTCACTCTAGCCTGGGCAACAAAGTGAGACTCTGTCTCAAAAAAATAAAAATAAAGACTTTACCCATTTGCTTCCTCAGCCCTCTTGATTCTTCCTACTCAACCTGCTCTCTTCCCCTCATCTTCCGAAATCTCCCTATAACCAATTCTTTTGTTTGATTGTCTCTCTCTTTCATTAGATCCCTTTTACTTTTAAGTTGATTCAAATCCCTTAGGTAAAAGGTATGTAAACTTCATGATTTGTTTAATATCTATCTCTCCCATCTCTTTTATTATTCCCAGAGAAAAAGAGAATGGGAAAAATTCTACTTTGCTTTCATGGTCACATTCAAAAACATTATTGCTGCATGAAACCTTCTCAGTCTTCCTCAGATTGGCATGAATACCTTTCTGTTCCTATTGTATCACATTCTCTCAGATTTAGACATCTATGAAAGGAGTTACCTTGCTTACGTGAAACACTGCTTTGTTCAAGGATTAGAAAACAAAAACAGTGGCAGAGCAAGGAGACATAGAAAAATTTCTTTCCCAGTATATCATACCAGCTTTTGGAGGTAGAAATTTTTTCTTATTTAAAGATGACATTTTATTTCCAAAGTGCATTCAACTAAACTTACAGAGAGAGACAGTTAAGGCCTTTCTTGGTTCTAGAGATTTGAAGATAAAATTTAGTATTTGCCCTCAGGATGCACACAAAAATTAAATCACAGATCATTAAATACAAGGCTGTGAATACGATGATAATGTTAAATTGGTATTCTGGGAGTGTGGAGAAGGATAAACTTTAAGAGAGCACAAGATGTAGTCAGGGAAGCCAAGCCTTTCAATATTTGTATAATATAGGGTTTTAATGAGTCTAATTTCCTTTTAGTAGTAGCTGCATCCTACTTGCTCAGGCCGGAAACCTTGAAAACCATTCTTTCTTTTTTCTTTTTCCCCCTTTCATGCCCCATATTCAATCTATCAGGAAATCCTATTGCTACTATCTTCAGAATACATCTAGATTTCAGTTCATAACTATTATCGCCCTTGCTCTGAGCCACCATCATCAGGTCAGAACAGTACATGGCACACAGTAAATGCCCAGGATATATTTGTAACTTGAATGAATAATTGATGATATAAGAGAAGTATATAATGGAGGACCTTGGTTACAATGCCAAAGCTTTGGCACTAGGGAGCCATTGAAAGATTTTAAGCAGAGGAGAATGATATGATAAAACTTACATTTTAGAAAGATAATAGATGACTGTTTAGGGTGAACTTCACCCATTCATTCAATAAATATTTATACAGAATGTGACACTGGAGTAAGTTCTTTAAAAGCCTTAAAATCCTATTTGTATGAGAAAGTCATAGCAAATTGCAGCTTACAGTTTAATAAGTTTATACATTTTAACTTTATGTCAGAATCTTGGTATTGGAGACCATACCAAACAATGCTATTAAGTATAGAGAGACGAATATTAAGCCATCCGTATTATACACTTTGAAAATTCAAAGTTGGGTTTAGTTTTGGTTATTTGCCTTTAGTTTGATTTGATGGAATGCTATTAGCACGGTAAGTTTAATGATAGATTTAATTTCTTAGCTGGTAACTAAACTTTTATTTTGTGTCTTTTTTTTTTCCTTCAAAGGGAATTTTGTGTATTGTGGGTTTAATTGGCTCTTAAACTGTACTCTTTATTTATTTATTTATTTGAGACAGAGTCTCACTCTGTTGCCTGGGCTAGAGTGCTGTGGCATCAGCCTAGCTCACAGCAACCTCAAACTCCTGGGCTCAAGCGATCCTCTGCCTCATATTCCCGAGTAGCTAGAACTACAGGCATGCACCACTATGCCCAGCTGATTTTTTTCAATATATATATATATATTTTAGTTTTCCAGCTAATTTCTTTCTAATTTTTTAGTAGAGACAGTGTCTCGCTTTTGCTTAGGCTGGTCTCAAACTCCTGAGCTCAAACAATCCTCTTGCCTCTGCTTCCCAGAGTGCAAGGATTATAGGCGTGAGCCACCAGGCCTGGCCTCTATTCTCTGTATATGGCAGCAGAATCTGTTGCATGTCTTCTGTTGCTGTGCATTTACTAAGTGATTACTTTAATCAGTTTCTTTTCTTGACCATTTTTTTGGAGGCAGAGTGTTGCTTTGTCACCTAGGCTGCTGTGCAGTGGTCTCACCATGGTTCACTGCAGACTTGTACTCCTGGACTTAAACGATCCTCCTGCCTCAGCCTCCAGATTTGCTGGGAATACAGGTGTGAAACACCATGCTGAATAATTTTTCTAATTTTTTGTCTCTCTCTTGCTTAGTTAGGCTGGCCTCAAACTCCTGGCCTCCTGATCTTGCCTCAGCTTCCCAAAGTTCTAAGATTACAGGGCGTGAGCCACCACTCTCATCTGACCAATTTTTAATGTCTTCAGAACACAGTCTTATTAGCTGAAGTACTTAAGTCTGGTTTCAGTAGGGGCTCTTCCTTCTAGCTATTAAACATTTATGTGTATATTAATAGGAAAATATCATAAACCTGTCATTTTAGTCACTTATTTAGCAAATTTGTTTTAATTTTTTTATTTTTTAGAGACAGAGTCTCACTTTGTTGCCCAGGCTAGAGTGAGTGCCATGGCATCAGCCTAGCTCACAGCAACCTCAATCTCCTGGGCTCAAGTGATCCTCCTGCCTCAGCCTCCTGAGTAGCTGGGACTACAGGCATGCGCATCATGCCCGGCTAATTTTTTGTATGTATTCTTTTAGTTGGTCAATTAATTTCTTTCTATTTTTAGTAGAAATGGGGTCTCGCTCAGGCTGGTTTCGAACTCCTGACCTCGAGCAATCCGCCCACCTCGGTCTTCCAGAGTGCTAGGATTACAGGTGTGAGCCACCACGCCCAGCCAGCAAATTTGTTTTAAATGTAGCAAGTTAGGATGTGTATGAGCAGCAACAAAAATAATGGAAGATATCAGAAGGCAAATAGAAAAACAATTTTAATTTTACAAAAGTAGGAGAAAGAACTAAAAAAGTATTGCAGATACTTTAATAGGCCTGAAGACACTACAAATTGTGACATAATATAATGAGTAATATCTGATAATAAATTATTAAAATCATAGTCTATTTAAGAAGGTTAGCAAAATAAAGATTTCTCTCTCTGGGAAACTTCAGACAACACTAGAGGAAGTATATCTATTAGTCATTCTTCCATGTACTCTCCATACCATGTACTTTCCTCTAGCTACAATTCCATGTCTTTCCTCTTAAGGCCATTCTTCAAGTTATGTTAGCAAAGCTAGCACCATTTCTTCTTCTATTAACCTCCTCTACTCGCTGTTTAAAAAAATACTACTATTTCTTAGTAAGATTTTTGAGAAGAAAAGTCTGTTTTAGAGTAAACCAGATTTTAAACTCTGACATAATTTCCTTGCAAATTTTTATTCCAGATTTAAAAAAATCTGTGGTTGATTTTTTCCCCCCTGTCTCTTGAATCTTTAAGATAAATAAGATGAACATGAAATGAGGCTAATAAGGATAATTGCATGGGAATAGAATTCAGGGTTTCCTTTTATTTTTGCTTTAGGTTAGTAGTGATAGAAATGGCATGATTTAATTAATCAATCAAAGTTTACTAATTATTTGTTGTCACTATTCAGCTAAAATCCTTTATCATCTCAACCCATTTATATTAGCTATTATTTAGATGTTTGGCTTTTCTTTGTGGAGCTTCTTAGTCCTATACACTGGTGTATAAGTTGCGGATTTTTCTTTTTAGAATTGAGGGAGACCAAAAATAAAGCAGGTTTTGGAAGGAGAAATACAGGAGGAAGATCAGTTTCAAATGACTTCTATTGCCCAAATTAGATATATAAGTCTGGATTTCTGAGCAGAGGCTTGAATTGTATAGAAAAATTTAGGAGTAGGTAGCATATAGACATTAGTTGAAGTGGAATGACTAGATGAAATCACCTTGGACAGAGTGAGTATAAATGGAGAAGAGAAAAGATCCAAGAATTGAGCTCATGTTTAGAGGTTGGGGAGATAAGGAAGAACTAGCAAAGGAGACCAAGAAAGAACAGCTGTTGAGGTAGGAAGAAAACCAAGACATTTTGATATTACAAAAGCTGAGTAAAGAGACTATTTTGAGGAGGGAATAATTAACTGTTTAGTATATCAAATGTTGCTATGTGTCTGCGTTGGGTGGCAGAGAAAAATTTAACAACCTGGACATGGGTGACTTTGACAAAAGGCAGTTTTGGTGAATGATAGAATGGAAAGCCTGATTTGGATTTTGCAGAGAATGGGGGGAGGGGGGATGTGAGATAATAAAATGTAACTTTTTTTCTCTGAGTTTTGCTTTAACAAGTAGCACAAAAATTCATATAGAGGATATTATTTGCAACTTTGTATTGGTTAAATAAGACTTTAAGAAATTTCTGGAAGAAATTGCCAGTCATGCCACATTTTTCTGATATGTCTGTGAGGTTGAGAATCTTAATAGGTTAATTGCCTTATTGTAGTTTCTTATCTATGAATTGCCTTTTCATCTCCTTTGCCCATTTTTCTGATGGGTATGCTGTCTTTAATTAGTCTGTAGGAATTTCTTGTTTTGTTTTAGATATTTTCATGGAACCAGTAATCTAAGGCAGGGAATTGGCATACTATGGGCCTGTGGGCCCCATTTGTTTTTGTAAATAAAGTTTTATTGGAACATACCCATGATCATTTGTTTACATATTACATATTGCTTATTGCTGATTCCTGCCATAAGTACAGAATTAAGTAGCTATATCAGATACCATGTGGCCCACTGAAAATACTTGTTTTTTTTTGCCATTTACAAAACAAGTTTTTTTTTTCACTTTGTTGCCCAGGCTAGAGTGAGTGCCGTGGCATCAGCCTAGCTCACAGCAACCTCAAACTCCTAGGCTCGAGCGATCCTTCTGCCTCAGCCTCCCAAGTAGCTGGGACTACAGGCATGCGCCACCATGCCTGGCTAATTTTTATATATATATATCAGTTGGCCAATTAATTTCTTTGTATTTATAGAGACGGGGTCTCACTCTTGCTCAGGCTGGTTTTGAACTCCTGACCTTGAGTAATCCGCCCGCCTCAGCCTCCCAAGAGCTAGGATTACAGGCGTGAGCCACCGCGCCCGGCTTACAAAACAAGTTTTTTAACCCTTGACCTAAGGCAGCTGTTTTTTTTTTTGTTGTTGTTTTTTTTTTTGAGACAGAGTCTCGCTTTGTTTTCCAGGCTAGAGTGAGTGCCGTGGCGTCAGCCTAGCTCACAGCAACCTCAAGCTCCTGGGCTTGAGTGATCCTTCTGCCTCAGCCTCCCGAGTAGCTGGGACTACAGGCATGCGCCACCATGCCCGGCTAATTTTTTATATATATATCAGTTGGCCAATTAATTTCTTTCTATTTATAGTAGAGACGGGGTCTCGCTCTTGCTCAGGCTGGTTTTGAACTCCTGACCTTGAGCAATCCGCCCGCCTCGGCCTCCCAAGAGCTAGGATTACAGGCGTGAAGGCAGCTGTTTTTGTCTGTATTTCCTTAAGATAAAGTTCTATATGGTATAATTCTGAAAATGAGAAACCTAAGTTTCCTAATATAAATTCTATCTTGTAATCCTTTACAAATATACTTTTTTACCTTTACTTAATGGAATCTTATTAAAGATAACAGGCATCAGATAGGTATTAAATGGATAGGCATTAAATTTGCCTTAGTTCTTTCTCAAAGTTTTTAGGGTTACCAAAATTACAAGATCTGGTTACCTGTTCTTAGTGAGCTTACTGTCTAGTATGGTTGTAAGGAAAGAATACCACACATAGAACCATGAAAACTTGCCAACTTGTGATGAGGCTATACTCAAGAAGACCAGAGGGATTAAAACAGAAACTTACCTGTGAATAAGAATGGACTCTAGAAAAGACATTATTAATCTAATTATTTAGATGAGTTTCAAGAATCCTGAGAACTACCTGAAATTATATATAAAATTGTTTGTGTGCAAGGGCCTTTGATTATTATTCTGGGTTGAAGAGGACCCACTCTCAGATTCTCTAGAGGCTTTATGGACAAAAAAAATTAAAGAAATAAAGCACCTTATCCCTCTCTGTAGAATCTGTTAATACCATTTTTCTTATCCCAAGTTCTTTCCATTACATAAAACTTTGTCATAACTTTTAGTTCTGTGAATCTATTCTATAGTCTCAATGAGTGTATTTATTTAAGTATTGAGAATCTGGTAGTATCATCTAGGTATATTTGGAAAATGGTAATTGGATGATAGGAGAAAGTTTTGAGTAAAATGAAGGAATCTCAAGCTAAACTTCACATATCTATAAGAAGAAAGGGAACTAACATATGCATAAAAGAGGCAGATCAAACCAGGCCAATTTACTCTGCTATGTTCTGGATGCTATGGCTTGTAGTTATTCTAATTGGAGTCATGGCTAATTTTGTGCTTTGGGTGATGTGAGGATTTGCTAAATAAAGACTATGTAAACCTTTTATCTCAAGCAACCCAATTACTCTGTGACTCTGGAAACTCTGGGGACTAGAAAGTTCAGGAGTTTCTGTCAGTGTAAAATCAGGAAGAAACGGAAAAAAATATAGAAAAAAAATATGTTGTGATGAGTTTGTGATCTATCTACAAGAAAGCAAAACAAATTTTCATTTCATTTAAACTGGAGTTGAGAGATGAGATCTTAAAATATTTATAATGAACAAACAGTAGTAAATGGAAACTTAATTTTCTAATACTCATTTATTTTAAAGTTCAAAATAGTTACAGTAATCTTTAGTACTGTGTTAGCTTTTTTTGTTTTATCTTAGTGTGAATAAAATATTTATAGAATCTTAATAGGTTCATCAGTGATCCTATTTTCTGCCTATTTTCACCTAAAAGATCTAATTTTTTTTAACCTTGACTTCTGTCCTCAGGACTGTTATGATTAAAACCCTGATATTTGGAGAAGAAATGTCATATCAAAGTCTTTATATAGTGTGACATACTTTATGTTGCTTATTTAATATTAGTTGTAGAATATGATGAAACAGCATACCTTATTGAAGCCACTGAGAAGCTAGTTGCAGTGATATGTGGGGGAAAAATAGGAGTTCAAACATTAGTAATCTATTATAGCCCGATTATCTCCCATTTAATGATTAATGTTATTTGAGGAGACTGATTGATTGATCAAAGGCCATTTCTGGTACCTCTGAGATTTTGTTTGTTGTAACATAGTATAATTCCATAGACATTTTTTAGCAGTCTTTCTGGTAGCATTCTTTGTTATGTCTTATATACCTCTTGTGAAAATTACTCTTAACCTTTGTGAATTTTACTTTCCTCATCTATATGATGGCAAAAAATACTGTTTACAGTGTAGAATTATATTGAGGCTATGAAGTTATACATATCAAGAGCCTGCCTCGGTTGTTGGCATTGTTAGCAAAGTAAGTATTATTTTTAAGTAAAGTTTTTATTATATTTATGATAGCTTTTCAATTCCTTGTTTATGAACTAGCCCATAACCATTAAAGTAACCTAATGATGCAACCTGTCTGGTCAAAATATTAGGTATTTTGTATTTGTAGTAGTTCGTAATTTTTTTTTTATAATTGTCATAGCCACTATTCTAGTTTTAGTAGTTGAATGTAAAGGAATCTAAATGCTTTCACATTTTATTAATCTTATTGGTGACAGAAAATTACTGAATATGATTCTTTATTTTAAAATCTATACTGATAATTTTTTCACATGTTTAATTTGTAATGAATTGTAGAACAGTTGAATGTGGACTTGGTCATTCATTTCTATCAGTTTCTGCTCCCTTTCTCCCGAAAAATTTTACATTTTGGGACTCAGATTTCATAAAAGGTTAGTTTGGTAACTGGGTAGTAACCAAAAATGTAAATTAATGAGCTGTTATGAATCCCAATCAAAGTAAGATTTCCTTTTTTATATTTGTTACAGCACAAGTAGAAAGTAATGAAAAGGACAGCAAACCTGAGGAAGAAGAACAAGTAATACATGAAGAAGAGGAAAGACCTTCTGAGAAAAGTATGCATGAATAAAACAAACTTGCATTAGTTTGAAAAATAATAATTAATTTTTCTGTATTTAGAGCCATGGAATATCTTTTTCTGCCCATGAAATGATTGTTAACTTTTGCAGTTTAAGCCACAGTTAAATCATTTGTTGATGGCTAACTCAAGAATCTCTGAAAGTATTCCTTCATACACTTTGATATTTTATTTTGTTTATTTGTATATTTTAGTGTTCCACAAGAAAGATTTAGCTTAACATATAATAAGGTATTGAGTATCTTGAGAAATTGTTTTAGATATATATTTAGAATGGGACTATAGAATATAGAATTTAGAATTTTGTCTAGGCTGATATAAGTAAATGGAAGTATGTGTTTCAGTCTACTTAAGATTCTTAAGCTTCATGAGGGGAAGCTTAAAGGGGAAATAGACTATTATTAGGTTTATATATAGAAAGATTGGACTAGAAGTCAGGAAACCAGGGTTCTGTAACTCTCCCTGTCATGCTGCTCTCCATGTATGAACATGGGTAAGTGTTAATTATGAGAAGTTGTAGAATAGAACTAGATTTTAAGAAATAGGCATATAGATAGGGATATAGAGTGAGATAGACAAGGATAACTATAGTCATATAATAGCATTTGCCTTTAAAAAGTGTGGAGATGTTAGTGTTTTAATTTTTTTTTTTAGATATTGCAAAAGAAACCAGATAAAATTTACCTGATCTCTTGAATATTAACAATATTTGAAATAGAAATTTTCTAAGTGAAGATTTTTGAGTATATGTTCTTTGCCAAATGTACTTTTATAATGATATTAATTTTATTACTTTTATATAGTTGAAATTCATTAGGATATGTTCAGAATATCTATTATTATGTTATTTTCCTAAGGTGATGATTATTTTTTATGTATTTACTGAGGATGAAGAATTAAATGTTATTAGAAATCTATGATAGAACAAATAATTTATCAGAGGATTCATATATGCACTATGAAATTTAGCTAAGGGAATGAATATGAGATGATTTTTTTTTTTACCTTCTGCCTGACATAATTGTTAGGTAGTTCTCCATCTTAATATATTTTCAAGGAACGAATGTACTATGTTCACAGTGTGCATTGCTTAACCGTTTCGAGGTTCTTATTTAGCATATTGAAATCATTTGAGGTTTAAAGCTAAAAGCTGTACATCTATTTTTATGATCTCAAAAACAATTTATAAAGTAATTGGTTAAGAATGCCATTGTAATAGATAGAAATAATATTTTCCTGAGGATAGATAATAGGCATTAAAGTCTATAATAAAAACACCTGACTGATCATTGTGGGTTTTGTTCTCAGATGAGTTTTCCAGAAGAAAACGTTCTAAATCAGAGGACATGGACAATGTACAGTCCAAACGTCGACGATACATGGAAGAAGAATATGAGGCAGAATTTCAAGTAAAGATTACAGCCAAAGGAGACATTAACCAGAAGCTTCAAAAGGTATTATTGGTTATGTAAAAAGCCATATAAAAGCCACCACTGTCTTTCTTTTAGGTTTTGACATTATTTTGTATTTTACTGTCATATGTGGTTTCTCATAGAAAGAACTTAAAGAAAGTGGTTGAGCTTAAAGTACATTTTTTCTGTAATAATTTAATTTTAAAATTCTTTTTGACTTCTTTCTGGCTATATAATTTTTTTTATAGATGATAATGATTATCAGAAAGGTTCTGGAGATATGATGACTTCTTCCTTTATTTGCTTTAATAATAAAAGTAAATATCATTTTTTAGTTTTTCTTTTTTTCTTCCCGTATTGAACTTTAGCTCATAATGAAAAAGAAATATTAGAATTTTACATACTGACATTTTGTTTCATTAAAAAATTTTTTTAGCTCTGCTTCATCCATGTTGATACACATATATATTAAAATTTAATCTTTATAATAAGCTGATTTTATGGTTGTAAGTCTGTACATTCTAAGCTCTTTTTTATGTACTTTAGGGTTAGTATTAAAAATGGTAGAGTCAATTAGTGGTGGACAGATGACTTAAAATAGCAACTACTCTCAAAACTGCTAATGGAAGAAAATACTCCTTAACTTTCTAATAATTTAGATAAACAAAATATGGATCTTTTTCACAATACTCTATGATTTTTAGACTAGGCTCTAGTGTTCAGAATTCACAATTATCCATGGTTGAAAACCAGTTATAAAAATCATGTAATTCAAGGGTAACATTGTTATCTTAAGCCTTATATAATACTGTAACTTGCTTACATCCATACCAGGATTTGGGCTGAAATACTTAATGGTCTTTCCATTGGAAATGATGGGGAGTTTTGAAGTTTTTTCTTGGTTGTACAGTATCAAATGAAACAATATTATCTTAATTTTGCATATACTGCATTTGCTGGTGCTATTTTTATACAGTGAGCAACAGCTTTGCAGCAAAATAATAAAATATTCAACTTCAAAAAAAAAATGGTAGAGTCAGTGCTTTAGAAGGACTACAGAGAGGAACATTTAAAGTACAGACTTTAAAAACCTCCCCCTGTATCTGTTAGACTAGAGATAGAATTAATTAAAATATTCAGTATGCAGTCGGGTGCATTGCATGCCTGTAATCCCAGCACTTTGGGGTCAAGGTAAGAGGATTGCTTGAGGCCAGGAGTTTGACAGCAGCCTGGGCAGCATAGCAAGACTGCATCACTATGAAACATTGAAAAATTGGCTGGACGTGGTGGGGGCATGCCTATGATCCCAGCTACTCAGGAGGCTGAGGTGAGAAGATCGCTTGAGCCCCCAGGAGTTGGAGGTTACATGTAAGCCATGGTCACACCACTGCACTCTAACTTGAGTGACAGAGTAAAACCCTATCTCAGAAAAGAATAAATAAAATACTCAGTATTTTTCATATTTTTCAAAGCATATTCACAAATGTTTATGGCAAATTCTTTTTGTAAGAGAGGGATACGAAATGCAAGTGATACTAGTTTTTTAAGGTATTACATATTTAATGATGAAATTATAAATAAGTGTTAGACCAACATTCTTCCACTAAGATCAAATATCTGCACTTTCTAGAAAAAGGATTAGTGGGGCAGTAAAAAATTGGCTTTTTTTCTTCTCCATTTCTTTTCTTAGGCATATGGAGTTAATAATGCTTACTCATTCTTTCTTATAGAGCTGCTAGAATAATGAAGGTAGCTATGTGAAAGAATTTTGAAAACTTTCATGTGTACCGAGAGTTTAATTCTTTAGAATAGTATTACCCAAGCATGCTTCGTGGACATGTACCAGTATCCTGTTTGTTGTGGGTCCATCATGAGATAATATGGAAATTTTGAGTAGGCATTTAGAAATGTTATAGAAATTTGATATTGCAGTGACATTCTTAGTGTATCTCACAAAAATATCAATCTGTAACAGAAGTTTTAAAAGCTGATCCTTTAAGTAGTTTGAACATGAAATATTATACCTTGAAATTATTTTCAAAATTTTACTGTCTAGAAATCTTCTATTTTTAGTATATATTCACCTCTTGGAGGTAGATATTATATATGTAGAAGTGGAGAATTTTAGCAGAATTTTATTCATTAAATTAGTTAATACATCATTACTGTCTTATCTGTACTTAAGGATATTCTTTGCTGCTTGCTGGAATGCCTTCTTTGCATAACAAAGGAATGTATATTTCTTTAGGTTATACAGTGGTTGCTGGAAGAAAAATTGTGTGCGTTACAGTGTGCTGTATTTGATAAGACTTTGGCAGAATTGAAAACACGAGTGGAAAAGATTGAATGTAACAAGAGGCATAAAACAGTTCTTACTGAACTGCAGGTTTGTATACTGATTTGAATTACATACCCATGTGTCATCATGTTTATAACTTATTTTCTGGGATATATATTTGAAGTTGACTGTAAAATAAATTTAAATTCTAAATATAAGCTTGTATTAGTTTGCTAGAGCTGCTATAAGGAAAGTACTATAAACTGGGTGGTTTAAACAACAGAAATGTATTGTTTGATAGTTCTGGAGGCTAAAAGTCCAAGATAAGGTGTCAGCAATATTAGTTCTTTCTGAGGGCTGTACTGGAAGGAAGAATCTGATCCATCCTTTCCTTTCGCTTCTGTTGGTTTGCTGACAATAGTTGGTGGTCCTTGGCTTGTAGAAACATCACCCCGATCTCTTTCTTTATTTCCATATGGAGTTATCCCTATATGTGTCCAAATTTCCCGTCAGATTAGCAGACTCACCTTACTCCAGTATGACTAATTATAGTATGAGTCTTCTTAACTAATTATCTTTGCAATGACCCTGTTTCCAAATAAAGTCACATTCTGAGGTACCAAAGGTTCAGACTTATGAACTTTTAGGAGGACACAGTTGAACCTACAATAGAGATTCAGAAATTACTGTACTTTGTGTTTCTTAATTTTTTTTTCCATCACTGAAAAAAGGCTAGCATTTAGCATGCCATAATAACTACTAAATAAATATTTGCGAGGGAATCTTTTTATATTAGTCTGCTTCATTTTGTGGACCTTATGTTTCAAAGATGTTAGTACTAATCTGTATTAGTTAATTACTACTTTTCATTTTTTATTAAATAGAGCGATATATTAACATAGAGTGCCAGAGCTGGTTAGCTGAAATGAGCATGTAGTTACATGCTATAGTAATGTAATCTATTTTATTCCAAAATTTCTTAACTGGAAATTTGAATCAGTACATTCATTCTGTCATAAATAAATAAAAGTATCATTTCTATTAGGCTATTTTATTTTATTTTATTTTATTTTTTTTATTTTTTCTTCACAGAATGTTTGGAAATAGGCTATTTTAAATATGAACATAGTCTAAAGATGCTGAGTTGTAAAACCACTTATAGGGCCTTATTTTATAAATGAGAGAAAAGTGATCCATGAAAGTTAAATCACCATTTTAGTTATGAATCAAATTGTAGCCAAATATGACTAGAATTGGGTGTATTATATCTCTCAGGCTAAATTTATTTCCTTGATTTCATACTGTTAATTTTGTTTGATATACTTTATTAATAATAAGGCCTTTGTATTTTTAAGACATCATTTAGGGTAAAACTAGCCCTGTGTCTCATATTTAGCAGGTATTTTTAAAACTTCATTTTACTAGTACTATTGAAAATCTTCAATTAAATCTGAAAATGTCTGAATATATAAAATAATAATTTCATTAATTGTTTCTCATCAGTCCCATGGCTTCAATTATGATTTCATGTTTTTAAAACCTGAGTTTTTGACTCCTATATTCTCACTTAAGGTGCAAGTCCAGATTCTCTTAACATTTAACAGGCATTGCACTTGGTTGTTTTCTCTGTAGTCTCAGACTCTGAATCTTTCCAACACCAAACCAGACATCTTCGCTACAAGTGTTCCTCTTAGTGACAATTTCTGAATTCTTGGAAAACTCTTGAGGGAATGTCTTCACATTACTTCTCTTATTGAGAGTTCAGAGTTCTTATAAAATGATCCCTCTCAATCACTTCACATACACATTGAGTTGCCAAATTACAACTTATTCATTTTCTAAAAAAATCTATCTCAATTCTTTTCACTTTTCACTAGGCCATCATTACCCAATTCCTTGACTATAGTAACAACCTTTTACATGACCACTCTGGTACTAGTTTTTAAGTTTTTTCTGGTCCTTCTTTAGACTTGTACTAATCTTTCTATAATACTGCTTTTTTCTTTCTCTTCTGTATAGTCCAGGTTTCTCAATTGTGTACCAGTCAATCCAGTATTCATTTTTGATTTTTAATTTGAATCTGCTAGTTTTTGATCTACTCTTCCTAATACCTACCAGTTCCTTCATTGTCCTACAGAGTATTATTAATGTTCATACGGACTTTTGACTTCATATTGTTTTCTATATTCAATCTCCTAGCCTCAAGTGATCCTCCCACATAAGCCTCCTAAAGTGCTGGGATTACAGGTGTGAGCCACCCTGCCCAGCCTGGCTACACCATTTTATATTCCCACCAGCAAGGGTTCCACTTCTCTACATCCTCACCAACACTTATTATTATTATTATTATTTTTTTTTTTTTTGAAACAGAGTCTCACTCTGACCCCATGCTAGAGTGCCGTGGGGTCAGCCTAGCTGACAGCAACCTCAAACTCCTGGGCTCAAGCGATCCTTCTGTCTCAGCTTCTCAAGTAGCTGGGACTACAGGCATGCACCACCATGTCCGGCTAATTTTTTCTATATATTTTTAGTTGACCAATTAATTTCTTTCTATTTTTAGTAGAGATGGGGCACTTACTATTTTTTATTTTTGTTTGTTGTTGTTGTTTATTATTGTAGCATCCTATTTGGTACAAAGTAATATCTCATTGTAGTTTTGATTTGCATTTCCCTAATAACTAATGATGGTGATCATCTTTTCCTGTGCTCATTGAACATTTGTATACCTTTTATAGAGAAATGTTAAATCCTTTTGCTCATTTTTAATTTGGATTTTTTGCCTTTTTGTTGTTGAGTTGTAAGAGTTCTTTGTGTATTCTGGATGTTAAACTTTTATCAGATATATAATTTGCAAATATTTCCTCCCATTCTGTAAATTGCTTGTAATTTCTTTTTTTTAAATTTTATTTAATTATTTATTTTTCTTTTTATCAGAGTGATGTGTTGTCTACAATTTCTTCATAATGTCTTTTGATACACAGAAGTTTTAAGTTTTCATGAAGTCTTAGAATCTCTACCTTTAAATTATTGTGTTTAATCTATTTACATTTAAAATAGTTATTGATAGAGACTTCTGCCATTTTATTTTTTTTCTGTATGTCTTACACCTTTTTTGTTCCTCAGTTCCTCCATTACTACTGCTTTCGTGATTGATTTTTCCTAGTGTATCATTTTGATTCCCTCTTCTCTTTCTATGTTTTCAGTATTTTCTTTAGTAGTTTACCCTGGAGATTACACTTAACATGTTAATTTTATAGCAATTAGGTTTGAATTAATATCTACTTATTTTCAATAGCATATAAAACTCTTGTTTCTTTACAGATCTGTCCTCAAATGTACTGTGTTTTTTTTTCACATTTAAAGGTAAATTGTTGAAAAATTCAAACTATAAAATTCATTATCTGCCATTATTACATCAACAAAAAAATGTCATTTTTAACAAAAAAAGTTTGATATTTAACAACTAAAAATAGGAAAGAGAGCTTTTACAATGTTGATGAGCTCATCTTGGAGGGCGTGTATTATAAATAAATATATCCATGCATACTTTTACAGTGATAGCTACTGGAAGAATAACTTTTAAAAAGCCCGTCTAGACAGATTCCTTCTCATTCCACCTGCCTCTTTCTGTTGATAATACCAGGAGTCTTAAGAGAGTTACTGTGGTCTGTGTCACATCCATCCCAGCCTCCTTTCTAAGCCTGTAGTTGATGACGAAAATGTGATAAATCTTCTGCCTTAGCCTTGATGCTTTTTCATTAATTCACTTCTGGTAGTAAACTGTGGCAGGTCTTCCACTTCAATCCCATCAGCCATTTCCATCACCTTGTCTAAAAGGTCTTTATTGTAATCGCAGCCCAGGAAGAGGTGGTTGGCCCAGACCATGGAGAGGGACAGCAGCTGGTCCAGGCGGCCGCCACCGTCGGGCGGGTCACGTGGGCAGGTGGCGCAGGATGAACTCAATGCGGGCCTTACGTTGCTTCTCGCTCTCTGAGTAGGAGCGGAACTGCTCAGCGAAGTCGGCTGCCTGCCGCACCCCCCCCCCAGCCTCCACCGAGGCAGCAGCCTTGCTGCCCACCATGGTGCCCGCTGCAGCCAAGGGCCGGCCCCTCAAATGTACTGTTGAGCCCTTCTCGTGACTTTCAGTTATTGTACTTTTTAGTTCCAGAATTGTCATTGTGTTCCTTATATAACTTCTTTTTATTACTCATATTCTCCATTGGTGAGACCTAATTTTTCTATTTTTTTATAAAACATTATTTGTCCATGTTGTCCGTTAGCTTTTTTGAGCAGATTTAAAAGTCAGTTTGTCTTTATCTAGTAAGTCCAATGCCTGAGCTTCCTTTAATTCTTTTTTTCCTGTAAATGAGCCATACTGTCTTGTTTCTTTGCATACTTCCGATTTTTTTTTGTTTTTGTTGCTGAAAATTGGACATTTCTAATACTATTAATAGGTTGAGTATCCCTTATCTGAAAATCTAAAATCTGAAGCCTCCGAAGTCTGAAACTTTTTGAGCACTGACATGATGTGAAAAGGAACTGCTAACTGGAGAATTTCAGATTTTGCATTTTTTAAACTAGGAATGCTCAATCAGTAATCATATTGCAAATATTACAAAACCAGAAAAAATCCCAAATCCTGGATCCACTTCTGGTCCCAAGCATTTAGGTTAAGGGATACTCAACTTGTATTATAATGTGGCAACTCTGGAAATCAGATTTTTTCCCCCTTCCCAGGGTTTGGCTTTGCTGCTCATTGAGGGTTGTTGTTTAATGACTTTTCTAGACTAATTTTTTAACTTTTTTTTTTTTTCTAAACTAGCTTTTCTAATGTTTTGGAAAGTATGTATATTCTTTGTCATGTGTGTCCACTGAAAAGTCTGTGTTTCATTATCCCAGCAGTCAGGAGGTGTTACCTTAAATGCCTGGATCCAAAAGAAAAAATATGTTCTTTCATTCTTTGTAGATTGGCTCTGTGTTGGGGTACTCCTTCAAGGCTTAGCCAAGCCATTTACAAGTTGCCTTATCCAACCTGCCTTATCTTTTATTACTTGTTTGTCTTTAATCTGAAGGCCAGGCAGAGCGTGAAAACTTAGGGTATTTAAAGG